CTTTACAATGTGAAGAACCCTTGTCCCGGAAGCGGAAGGAACCCACTCTGAAAACCTGGTGTTGCACAGCTCTACTGATCTCTGAAGAAGCGGAAGCACATGGGAGAGAGCATGCCTCTCCCCAGAAGAAATAAGCAAAACCAGTCATTGTCAGATGAGCTCCTATGTGTAGCTACCCCAGGTCATGTTCGGGTAAAAGCCCTTCCAAAGGGTCCCTTAATAGACCTGGGAAACTGTAACTATCCATTCACTTATTTATTTAATAGGTATTTACTGGCCGCCTGACACGCACCAAGAAAAATATTAGATATACTTTTCACTTCTTTTTTTTTTTTCTTTTTTAGATTTCTTTATTGTTTTGTGTGTGCGGGGTGAGGGGGTGAGGTGGTGGGGGTGGGGAGAGTGTTCTGTCAACATGTACATCTGCGCATATGGGTGCAGTGCCTGTGGAGGTCAGAAGAGGGAGTCAGATCACCTGAACTGGAGCTACAGATGTGGTGTTCCTGCCATGTGGGTACTGGGAATGGAACATGGCTCCTCTGGAAAAGCGGCCAAAGCTCTTAGCCTCTGAGCCATCTCTCCAGCCCCTCCTTTAGACTTCTTGTAAAGTGACTCACAGAGCAGGAAAGGAAAAGTAATTGCAAGTACTGGAATGCCAGCTAGAGAGTTTAGTTCCTGGAGTGGGATATGGCCATGGATCCCAAAAGCATTTTCAGAAGGGAAAGGCCATGGTCCAGGCATAAAGTGGCTGAACCAAGTTGGAAGTGAATCACAAGAGTGAGGAACACGCCGGGCGGTGGTGGTGCACGCCTTTGATCCCAGCACTTGGGAAGCAGAGCCAGGTGGATCTCTGTGAGTTCAAGGCCAGCCTGGGCTACAGAGAGAGAGAGAGACCAGGACAGGCACCAAAACTACACAGTGAACCCCTGTCTCGAAAAACAAAAACAAAACAAAACAAACAAACAAACAAAAAGAGTGAGGAACTCAGGCTACTGTTAGAAGTTTGTTGCCAAGGTCTACACAGTGCAACCCGGGTCACTTTAGGAGTTTTGTTTGTTTGTTTGTGACAGGGTGTCTCTGTGTAGTCCTGACTGTCCTGGAACTCACTCTGTAGACCAGGCTCACAGAAATCCGCCTGCCTCTGCCTCCTGAGTGCTAGGATTAAAGGCATGTGCCAGCACCACCCAGCCACTTTAGTGATTATTAAAACAAATTGCTGGAGTCTAATGCAGAGTTGTTGATTCAGTGGATCTGAAGTAGAGTCCCCAAACTGGCATTTCAAACAGGTCCTCAAATTCATTGGTGATGATGGTGGGCATTTACGGATTATAAGTAGAAACACTCAGGCTTTGGTGTGGTGTTTCATGCCCGTAATCCCAGCACTTGTGAAGCCAAGGCAGAAAGTTCATGAGTTCTAGGCTAGCCGGAGCTACATAGTGACATCCTGTCTCATAAGCAAAAACTAAACAAAACAAACAAAAAAATTGGCGAATTTTAAAGCTGAAGTATGTGATATCTTTTATGGTGCTACAGAATCCAGGAAGACAATCTGGTGAGGGTTGGGATGGTGGAAGGGATGTGAGCTCAGCTTCAACTTGGATACTTTGATAGCTGAAGACGTCCTAGGACCAGTGGTTCTCAACCTTCCTAATGCTGCGACCCTTTAATACAGTTCTTCAAGTTGCGGTGACCTCCAACCATAAAATTATTTTGTTGCTACTTCATAACTGTAATTTTTGCTACTGTTATGAATCGTTAATGGGATTATATCTCTAGCAATCTTGGGAGACCCCTGTGAAAGGGTCCAACCCCCCCCCCCAAAGGGTCAAGACTCACAGGTTGAGAACCGCATGTATGGTTTTGGATTTCTAATCAGATTGGAAGATTGGAGGGGACACATTTGGGGGTAACAGGAAGACAAATGGTCATTAGATTTGGGAGGGGGATGAACTTGCTCCTGAAGAACGTAGACAGGGGGCTGATGAGATGGCTCTGCAGGTAAAGACACTTGATACCAGGCCTGATGACCTGAGTTCAATTCCCAGAACCTACATGATAAAAAGAGGGAACTAGCCGGGCGGTGGTGGCGCACGCCTTTAATCCCAGCACTCGGGAGGCAGAGGCAGGCGGATCTTTGTGAGTTCGAGGCCAGCCTGGTCTCCAAATCGAGTTCCAGGAAAGGCGCAAAGCTACACAGAGAAACCCTGTCTCGAAAAAAAAAAAAAAGAGGGAACTAAATCCTTCAAGTTGTCCTCTGACCTCTACATATGCACATGTGCACACACACACACACACACACACACACACACACACACACACACACAAACACACATTTAAATTAATGTAGACAGGAAGAGATAGAAACTGCCCTGAACATGAACAACTAACATGAAGAGTAGGAATGATCACTGGCAAACTCCTTTAATCCCAGCACTTGGGAGGCAGAGGTAGGTGGATCTCTATGAGTTCAAGGCCAGTCTGGTCTACACAGTGAGTTCCAGGACAGGCTTCAAAAAAGCCAAAAGAAGTAGGAGGAGGAGGAAGAGGAGGAGAAGGAGAAGGAGGAGGAGGAGGAGGAGGAGGAGGAGGAGGAGGAGGAGGAGAAAATGAAAAGAAAAACGGTCAGAGTAAGAGGAGGTAGTAGCAAGAAAGAGTGAGGGAATCTGAGCAAGCCAGAGACAGCCAGCCCATCCCAAGCCTGTTGGAAGAGCAGAGGGATTCCCCAAGTTGGGTCCAGGCATCATCCTCATCGTGGTTTCTGGGCTTTTCCCACAGAAAAAGTCCACCAACTTGTGATCTATGCACTGACGTCTACCTCGGAGACTAATTTCACATGTCCCATGAGTGAGGTAGAGGGTAGAGGATGAGGGAAGCTGCCCCAGACTCACAGACATGAATAACACATACACAAGCTCCTCCCACCAGATCTTAGCTCTGTCCTGAGGAGGCAGGCTGCGCAGCTGCCCCATCTGGCCCACCTGTTCTCCTAGCTTCTGGCCTCGGCCTCTGGGAAGCTCTTAGCGATGAATTCTCGGTTGCTAGCTAGGCTTCAGTCTTCCCTCACAGCTCCCCATCCCTCCCCGTGCCAGGCTGAAAGAAGCCCAGTCTGAGCTCTGTACTAGCCCTGTGCATTCTGGGATACCCACGTGGAACATACAGCAGGCAGGTCAAGGATCTACCCTCTCCACGGTGCTGCTCTCTCAGCTTTTTCTTCTCTAGAAAGGAACAGGAGAAAACGGTGGCTCCTCTTCACCCTCCCTTCCTTTTCCTTGCCCCTGCAGAAAGTAGAGCTTGGAGAAGGAGCCAGACTTGCCCAGAATTACACAGCCACTCAAGAGCGAGTGCAAGACAGCAAAGAATAATGATCCTGAGCACAGAGGGAGGCTGGAGAAGGGCCATCTCAGCATTGCCACTGAACCAGCTGTTTGGCATCTAGGCTCTCTGTGCCTTGTCCCTCACCTGAAAATGGGGGGGGGGGACTTGGTGTGTGAGGTAACTCAGCGTTCACGTTGTGCGGTGAGCGTGCAGAGGATTATTTCTCCCACCACCAGCCCTGTTTTTAACACTGCAAAGAAACCTTCCTTCTGCTTTTTAAATTCTCATTGTCCTCAGCATTTCCCCCACTTGCCTGTCTTTAATCTGATCCCCGCTTCTCAGAAGGGTTGGATTTGGGGAGAAAAGAAGAGGGATTGGAGGGAGAGATTAGGACATGCTTGACAGACAGACAGCGCCTACCATGGTAACACACTAACACGCAGACGGTCACAAGTATAATACTGAACCTCTTACACTCAGTGTCAGCTACACACTCAACCATTCCATGTCACAGATTTACAGCCAGCCCAGGCTCTTATGACTTCAGAAACATTTTGGCCCCTTCTGAAGTGGAGTTCAAGCCATACTACGACTCTTTCTGACCAGGTCATGTCTCCAATATCCAAGGATCCTGGCTTGGTATTGAGGGTTACCATCTCAGGAAGTCTGAAAGAAGCAGGCATCTTCAGAGTGTTTTTGATCCAAAGCCATGAAGGAGAGACTGTAACATAACCTCCTACACACATGCATGCTGACACAAGTGTACACATGAACTGATAGGCTTGAGTTTGCCACTCACCGGTGTGTTTCACATTCAGCATTGGGTGGCTGCAGTAAAGACTGATACCATTTAACAGGGGAGGAAGCTGATGCCAGAAATGAGGAATGCTTTGCTCAAAGTCAAAGTCGAACACATGCATTTATTTATGCATTCATTTAAAAAGATTTGGAAGGGGGTGTTGAGATAGTTTATTGGGTTAAGGCACTGGCCATCAAGCCTCAGGCCATGAGTTCGAATCTTTGGACTCACAGGGTGGAAGAAAAGAACCGACTCCTGCAAGTTGTCCTCTGAGCTCCACAAGTGCCCCGTGGCACACATACACACTAAATAAATAAATAAATATAGTAAGCAAATGTAAATAAAAATTGCACAGACCGGAGTGAACGTAGGCCCTTGCATTGCATTCCAGCCTTTGATCGCAGCTGCAAGCTTGGAGCCCAGAAGAAGCTTTGATCAGAAGGGCCCGAATTCATTCACTCCTTACCCCACCGGTTCCCACCAGGGCCACGCCTCCCTTTCGGCGGCCGCTGGGGAAAAGGATGAGATAGGCCATAGCTTGTCCCTTTAATGCGCGCCCCCAGAGGCCCAGCGCGCCCCCGCCACTATAACTAGAGTGCATGGAGCGGGCTGAGCTCAGAGGGAGAAGGGCGGGCGCTGGGCACCCGCTGACCGACTTTTTTCAAGTGCGATCAGCTCCCGTCCATTCCACCTCCATGGACCCACCCTCGGGCGCCCAGCACTGAGGACCCCACACCCGCTGGTCTTCCAGCTGGGCTGGGTTACACCCAGCTACCAGACGGTGATCCCCTCGGGCTGTGAGGGCTCCGGGCTTGAGTTCTTGCACTGCCGTCGGACGAGGGCTGTGTCGCCGCCGCCACGCCTCGCGCCCCACACTACCCGCCCCATGCTGGTGCACACTTACTCCGCCATGGTGAGTAGTCTCGGCTCCCGGGGCACACTGAGCAGGGAGGTAGGGGAATCAAGGAGCCTGGGTGCTGAACCATCCAAACCTCCGGCCCCTGCGCCAACGAAATCGCGAGAGAAGGGTGACACAGGGCCTCTCCCAGGCCGAGAAAGTGGTGGCAGGAGCTCGAGATCCCCAAGCCTGGGACTCCTGCGCCCCGCAGGGCATTCGCCTGTGGACAGCAGCAGGACCCTTCTGAGCTGAGGGAGACCTCGCGGGGCTGGTGTCTTTTCAGCCTCTAATGGCTCTCCTAACACACGCCTCCCCTTCTGCAGGAGCGCCCCGACGGGCTGGGCGCAGCGGCTGGCGGGACCCGCCTGTCGTCTCTGCCCCAGGCAGCCTACGGACCCGCGCCGCCACTGTGCCACACGCCCGCCGCCTCTGCCGCCGCGGACTTTCAGCCTCCCTACTTCCCGCCGCCCTACCCGCAGCCGCCGCTGCCCTACGGCCAGGGCCCCGACGCCACCGCCGCCTTTCCGCACCTGGCCGCGGACCCTTACGGCGGCCTAGCGCCCCTGGCACAGCCGCAGCCCCCGCAGGCCGCCTGGGCCGCGCCCCGCCCTGCCACCCGCGCCCACGACGAGCCGCCCAGCTTGCTGGCGCCACCCGCCCGCGCTCTGGGCCTCGACCCGCGTCGGGACTACGCTGCCGCGGTGCCCCGGCTCCTGCACAGCCTGGCCGACGGCGCGCACGGCCTGGCAGATGCTCCCCTTGGTCTTCCAGGGCTAGCGGCGCCCCCCGGCCTGGAGGAACTGCAGGTGAGAACAGAAGGGACCAGGATGGGCCGGGGTGGGTAGCGATTTAGCATCCTGGCTGGAAACAAAAAAAAAATGACAAAATCAGGAGCCGGACTCTTCTCCCAGCCCGCAACTTTCCGTTTATGCCTCTGACAGGGAGTCCTTGGTTAGATAGATCTGGCCAAAAAACAGCCTCAAAACTGAGGAGGTGCGAGGTGCCTGGGTGGCAGCAACCCTCGTGGAATCACTTCTTTCTCTCCCCACTGTGGGACTGAGCCACGGTGGGCGTCCATGCCCAGTCCCGGTCCTCCAGAGCAGCCTGGGCTGGGGTTTAGAGAGGCTCAGTAGTTGTCTATCTAAGGCAAGAAGATCATCCAGGCAGGACCGCGGCTTGGGCGCAGATGGTGCCGAGCCCAGGCGATTCCTGGTCACGCCCGTCCTCCTGGTTGCCGCCTCAGGCAGCCGGTGGTGAGCATAGGGCGGAGCAGACGTGGACTAAGGGGCAAGCCGGGCGGGCATGGGAAGCAACAGCCAACGAGGTCTAGTACGCTCATCCTCTTCTATTTGCAGGCGATAGATGACCCGGGAATGAGCCTCCTGGACCAATCCGTGATCAAGAAAGGTAAGGAATGGTGTGCAACTTCCAGGGCAGAGCCAGGCGTGATGGTGCAGGCCCCGGGCGCACAGACCCATTTTCTTCTCTCTGGTGGTTGTTTCCTGTGCGTTGCCTGGCTCAGTGGCCAAGGAACGTCCTTCTCAGTCCAGGAGAAGGGCTATGGGGTTAGCTGGATGGTTTTGCTCCGAAGTTTGTTGCCTGAGGTGGGCTGCACTCTCTAAGCTACAACTGCCCTGCCTCCCCTCTCGGAAGGGAGGGCGAGAGAGTTCTTGTGGAGCTGGAGTTGATTTGCAGAACGAGTTAAACCACTTCCCTGTTTCCTAAGAAATGGGAATGGGAGTGCTGTTCCCACAGATTTTGTTCAATGATTTCCACTTTATTGAACTTTAACACTCTGGAGTCTGGCAAATGCTTTCTGCTCCTTTCTTCCCAGCAGAACTTCCGGGCCTTGCATCCTCCCCACCTCCCAGGGCAGGGGGGATTTTCTTTGAGTTGACGCCCCCTAAAGCATTTAGAATTGGAGAAACTGCATTGGGCTGTGTGTTCTGGGTCAGGCCTGTTGTCTCCTGGGGTGTCTGCATCTCTGGGCTCAGGGTTCTGTGCAGACTGTGTGTTCCTCTTCTGGGCAGTAGTGTTTCTTGGTGTGTATGTGTGTTGCTGCGAGAGTGTTTGTGATTTGTATCTGTGTATACTGGGGTGTATTTTCTGTGTTTGGGGTTCCCTGTGTACCTAACACATGTCCTGGAATTTGTCGTTGGTATTTGAGGTGTTCTAAGGATGTGAGGCCCTCTTCTTGATGGTTTTGTTTTGTTTCCCTCCATATCTGTGTGTCTTTTTGTATTAGTAAAAGGCAGGGGTGTGAGACACCCCTTGGGGTGGATTTTCGGATCTGAAGACCAAGTTTTGGCCATGCCATGTAAAGGTGAGAAAGAGACAAATCAGAGAGAGACAGAGAGACCCAGGCCTTGGGCAAGCTCCATAGATTTGGGGTGGGTGCCCAAAGGAATTCAGAGGCACACGGAGCCTGTAGTGCCGGAGGGCAGGCACACCTCCCGCAGGATTTGGCCGGAGCTGTTTTTCAAACAAGTGAATTCAAGCCCAAGCTGTTTGCCCTGTGTAGGTTCTCAGGGGAGACTTGCGGTGGGAGTGGGGTGGAGAGGGTAGAAGGGGCTGGACTTCCAGGAAGTAGAGCTGGGTATGGAATTTGGGGGATGAGAGGACACACCTCCTAGAACTTGGTGAAGGGTGCCTTCAGGAATCTGGGACTGTCACCAGAAGCTGGAAATACAGGGAAGATGCTAGAGACGCACTGGCCCCCCTCGCCAGCGCTTTGCGGTCTGCTCTTTGCTGGTTTCCTGGACAGCTCTTGTTCGGATCTGGTAGAAGGGAAAGTTGGGTCTGGAGTCTACCGTAACCTGCCACTGGGCTCTTTGCAAGCCCCCAGATCCTGGCTCCCGCCTAGCTCAAGGGCAGGGAACCCAGGTTCACTGACTCCCTAGGGAGACCCAAACCCTACCTTTGGAGAAGGGGCTCCGGTATCCCCAGATAAAAGAATCTGCGGTTGGTCTGAGAGTTCCTTGTGGGTTCCTGGGGCCTGCCGGGCTGCCCAGATCCGAAAGTGCACATTCGGGAGACAGGAGTGCTTACCGGTCTGTGGCTACGAGGAGTGAGCTGAAGCACCCACAGAAACTAACTCAAACTGAGAGGATCTCAGGTCACAGCCTGAGTCACCGTAGCAATAGTGGGAAGGAAGGGAACAGAGCCGGGGACAACCTGCGGAAGGAGGAGCCTGATCCGCGGCGAGCATGGCCGTCTGCTGCCCAGCGGGCCACTGAAAGAGAAAAGGGGGTCAATGCCCAGGGACAGCGGGCTCCCACGGTCCACCCCAAGAAGAGCGGCTGTGGCGAGGCAAGCGGCACTGCCACCAGACCATGTTCCCTGGGGGAGCTTCGTAACACGCAGGGTTTTGTGTGTTCGTTTGTTTTTGTTTTTGCCGGGTTCTCCACGGTCAGTGCCGGACTCGGCTTCGCCGCTTGGGTGGCCATCGGCGGCGGGGTAGCCCCGAATGGTTTCTGAAGACTCTGGACACTGCTTGGTGCGATGAGCGACCGCCCAAGCTTAGGGAAAGTCGGTCTTGGACCCTGAAGCGTCCTGGAGGGACGTGGAGGGAGCCTGCACCGCTAAGGTCTAGGGTCCAGCGCGGAAACCCTTGCGATCCTCCAGCTGCGGGTGCGGGGAGGCCTGGGGTGTCCATCTCACCAGTGCTGCGGGGCCCTGGAGCCTGGACAGTCTCACAGCCCAATCTGAGAGGTACATCTTCGGCGGACTACAGGCACTTTTCCTGGAGGGGAGGGGCTAGGGGCTTCTCCCACACCTCGACTTCTAGGTCGGGCCCACTGCAGCCACCTTGTGGGTTGGGGGTGGCCGATTATTCAGAAGAAACCGGAGGGCAAATGAGTAGCACTCCATTTTCTGCGCACAGCTGTCACCTCCGGTTTTACAATCTATCGCAGACGGCAAGAGAGCAGGGGGGGGGGGGGGGCTGGAGGGGAGATGGCGATGCTCCGCAGTATTTTGCAGCCGAGGGCCTGGGGTGTCTGTGCAGGACGTCCTAGGAGCTCACAGGAGAGGCGGCCAACTCCTGAGGTTGGGAGACTTCCTAAAGGACAGCCGTTAGTAAGGTGCTCAGTGTGTGTCTGCTCAGTAAATGAGTGCTGGGTTTTGAAATCTGAGCACATTGGGACAGAGGCTAGAGAAAGGGCCCAGTTACTCGGTGGCACTAAAGCACAGGCAGCCGCACAAGCAGCGCTTTACCTGTGGAAAAAACGGGGGAGAGGAGGGAGGCGTTGTGGAGATTTAAAATGGGGTGATGTGGAGATTAGAAATGCGCTGGAGGCCTTGTGTGGTGGAGCACACCTTTAATCCCAGCACCTGGGAAGCAGAGGCAGAGGCAGAGGCATCTCTGTGAGTTCCAGGACAGCCTGGTCTACAGAGTGAGTTCCAGAACAGGCAAGGTTGCACAGAGAAACCCTGTCTCAAAAAACAACCACAAGAGAGAGAGAGAGAGAGAGAGAGAGAGAGAGAGAGAGAGAGAGGGAGGGAGGGAGGGAGGGAGGGAGGGAGGGAGGGAGGGAGGGAGGGAGGGAGGAAGGAAGGAAGGAAGGAAGGAAGGAAGGAAGGAAGGAAGGAAGGAAGGAAGAATTGAGCTGGAGGAGATTGGTTTGAAAGGAGACTTTCTCCCAGAAGACAGTGGCTGGTGGCCTGACTGGTGTAGGAAACCCCCCTGGGCACAGGTGGTCTAGATCTCTAGGGGTTTCCGGAATTAAGAAGGAAGTAAACAGACAGCCTTCCTCTGCCCTCTTTAGCTCTGGGGAAGGTTCAGAAAGGAGAAGGGGGCCTGGGCCAGCGAGTCCATGACTCGAGAGAGACGGGGATGCGGCACTTGACTCTGTAATGGGGTTAAAACGTCTAGTAATCAGGACAAGTAGAATCATGTAATTTTTTGACAGTTTTGCACATGTATTTAATGAATTTTGGCCATTTTCACCCCGGCCTTTGTCCTCTCTCACCCTCCTCGAACTTTTGCTGAAACCTTTCTCAACACACAGTCCTCCTCTTTTGTGTCTTTTTTCCCCTTTGTGACCCACTGAATTCAATTATGATTGCCTGCTTGAGCAAAGGTGTGCTGTGTTATCCACTCCCTGCCCCAGGACCATTAACTACCCAGAGTTCTTCAGGGTGAGCTGGTGTCTCATGAGCCCCTCCTCCACAAGAAGTATCTTTTTAAAACTACTTTTTTTTTTCTTTTGGTTTTGATTTTTGGCTTTTGGTTTTTTGAGACAAGGTTTCTCTATGTAACAGTCCTGGCTGTCCTAAAACTCACTCTGTAGACCAGACTAGCCTCAAACTCACAGAGATCTGCCTGCCTTTGCCTCCCAAGTGCTGGAACTAAAGGAATGCACCACTGCCTGGCCACTTTACATTTTTATTCATGTGTGTGTGTGTGTGTGTGTGTGTGTGTGTGTGTGTGTGTGTGTGTGTGTGTGTGTAGGTGGTTGTGGAGGTCAAAGGTCTATTTATTAATTTATTTTGTGTTTGTAAGGTCAGAGGGTAACTTGTAGAGGTTGGTTCTCTCCTTCCACCCTGTGAGTTTCAGGGATCACACCCGGTCACCAAGTTTGGTGCAAGCTCCCTTCCTCAGCAAGCTGCTCACCACCCAGTGTAATAATTTTTCAAAAACAAATGCATAGAGTTGTATAATCGCTACTGCAATCCATTTGGGACACATCTGTCACCCCTCAAAGTTCCTTCATTCTTGTCTGCAGTTCTTGCCTCAGGTCTTACACAATGCCTGGTATGCTTCTGATCCATGAATTTGCATATTCTGGACACGACCTGTGGATACGTGGATATGAGGACTTTTGCATCTAGGTTCTCTTAGCAAATGTTTTCAGGCTGTGTCTCCACTGTGACATATGTCAGCTGCTGGTTTTGCTTGTTTGTTTGTTTGGGTTTGTGCTGCTGAGTGGTACTGTCCTATTGCTCTGAATGGCTTTCATTGTATCCTTCTTGGGAGCTGGAGAGATGGCTCAGTGGTTAAGACCTCCTGTGGATTCCAGAGTTTGATTCCCCACAGCCATCCATAGTTCCAGTTCCAGGGGATCCAAAGTCCTCTTCAGACTTCCCTGGCACCAGGCATGCATGTGGTGCACACGCTTGCATGTAGGAAAAACATTTGTACACATAAAGAAATTAAAATAGCAGAGCATAGTGGCACACACCTTTCATCCCAGCACTCAGGAGGCAGAGGCAGGCAGATCTCTGCAAGTTTGAGGCCAGCCTGGTCTACAGAGTGAGTTCCAGGACAGCCAAAGCTACATAGTGAGACCTTGTCTCAAAAACAAAATAAAAAAAACAAAACAACCAAGAAGTTAAAATAATCAAACCTTCTTTTTTAGATTTATTTATTTTATGTGTATGAATGGTTTTCCTGCATGTATGTGCAC